TGGTCTACAGAAGACAGATTCCACAGAAGACCTGGAAAGATAAGGAAACATGACCGGTTAGATCAAAATGTCAATCAACACTCAAAAAAATGATATTAGGTGGTTGTTACATTTACAAAATTCAAACTTGTAATGTGAACAAAATAATTTCGTGTTTCTGTGGTGAATGTAATTGAATCATGTAGGATCTGCATGAAATCCAGCAACTTAATTTATTCTTGTTGAGATGACATGATACAATCTAGTAAGAGTGGTTAGTTGCCTGTATTCACAAAATTCACAAGCTCACACAAGAGTTCAAACCACAGGAAAATCACTAGGGTTAGAAGAGACAGACAACAATACACACACTACGTATATGCCTTAGCTATTTATTGCGGTTTAACCTGGACAAGGACAAAAACGTAAAGAAAATTCTATATAAAGCCTCGTAATCATAGTTTCCCTATTTTTTTAAGTCTAGATTGACAGCTCGGTGGCACGGTGGTTAGCACTGTTGCCTCGCAGCAAGAAGGTCTTGCAGTGGGTTCTCTCTGGGTACTCTGGTTTCCTGCCACAGTTAAAGTCATGCATAAGTTAGGTTAATTGAAGTTTCTAAAATATCTGTGAACATGAATGCAAATGGCTGTCTGTATCTCTGTGATAGACTGGCGACCTGTCCAGTACACTGACTGCCACCCTATCACATCTGGGATAGGCCCCAGCATCACTGCAACCCTGGTAAAGATAAGAGGAGTGCAAGTTATTATAAATCCATTAACATTTTATGTTAACCAGACTCTAGACTTTGTTACACTTTGTTGAACACTCCAAAAAAATAACTCTTTAAATGAACGTAAAATGATTTCCACATTAATAAATGGCTTTCTATCACGATTAAGCATTTTTGTTGCACTAACGTAATTTGCATGGGTTGGATCAACTCAATTAAATTAAGTTGGACTCAACTGTAGTAAAACAGTTGAATCATCATTAATTAATCAAGTTAGTCCAACTCAAGTACATCAAGTTGCAATAACAGAATTGCATAATGCTAAAATAAAGCAATTTAATTACGTGGAAATTCTTTCCATGATTTTTTTATGTTCATTCAAAGAGTTATTTTTTTGAGTGAAATAGTCAATCACTGCCTGTCGCAAAAATATAAAAGAATTCATGCTGATTTTATAGGTTTAGGTTTATATATGTATTTGGCTGTTTTCTCAACTGTTTTACTATTTTACGTGTTATTCAGATGCAATCATAGAGTTAACTGTTCCTTCTTCAACACATTTACAGAATCCTTGTTTAACTGCACCTAAATGAAAGCCGTTTGGGTAGTTTCCTCTGAAAAACAGTAAACATATATAATGTGCCAGAACTTGATGAGTATGTAAAGACTGTTATGTAATACTACACACCAGTGGCTCCCTGTCAGACTTGTTTGGTTAGGTGTGTCCGTTTGTATAGAGGTGCATATTTCAGTGTGATAATATGTACCTGTCAGTTGTTTCTGTAGCTCTAAAGAGTTTGCATCTTTGAGCAGAGCAGCTGCCTGCGTGATGCCACCGCAGCGCTGTATCTCCTCTTTGTTTTTCTCGTTTTTGAAGGACAAGTTACGAAGAGCAGCTGAGACTGTAGAGGTGACTTGCAAACTGGGGCTGCGCAGCAGATTCACCAACGGAGGAATGCCATTAAGCTTTAAGACCTGTGGGAACACATGACTTCAGGTTAAGTGCAGCTTGGAATCATTTTTTTGTTAGAAAGAAAATGATTTTTGTTCAAGTGATCATTTAGTATTGAATCCATGTGAAGCTTAATATAAAATGATTGCATTATTAATAAAGACCATAAAGTACATTTTAACAATGGTATAATTTAACGGCTACTCAGCATTTGCTGTAATTGGAAATTGCATTCAAATGATAAGCATTCCAACACCACAGCAAGATAAGATAAAAACATATGAACATATTAAGAACATATTAAGAATGAGGTAAGCTACCTCCTCTTTAGCTTTGTCGTCAATGAAAGTGTTGTGCTGGATGTAGGAAGCTCCACAGTGCTGATACGTCTCCTCATCACTGGCTAGATAGTCCACAGCCTCCTTCATAGTAATATCAACTTTATCAATTTTGGCATTTCCATTGGAGCTGTGAAAAAAATATTTAGATATTTGTTTTTTTATTAGCAATTTTGTTTAATCATAACATAAAATTTAAATGTGAAATTCAGGAAATGATAAACTGTATTTTCCGACTCACCCAGAATCCATTTTGCTTTTGAATGAAGGCTCGGTAACGATCAGCTTTGGGGCTTTAACTGTGTCTATTCGGCTGTATATGAACTGATTGTTTGCTTTAGTCTGACCATTTGCAGCATACTGTGGTGGGGGTACCGTGGTCCTCGTTATAAACTGGCTGGTGGCTCTTTGTGACCTGCTGTCACCAGTCTTCATGGTTTGGATTCTTTTTGATGGGCCCGAACGCGATGGTACAGTGCGCTGATGTAATACCAGATTGGGCTCGCTGCGGCTGCTGTTGCTCTGACCGGCTCCCATAGGCCCAACTGGGGCATAGTGACTCTTATATTGATAGGCAGAAGATACTGTGTATCTGTTCGCACTGGATCCCTGGGAGATGTTGGCTTTTTGCTGGGTATTGTTTTTCTCATAGCTGAGCTGCAGAGCCACAAAAAAGATACATGTGTTTGCAATCAAATATATCACTGTGTCACGAAGACTTATTTTACCAGCACTGAGACTCGCATGGAGCAAATCAAACTGTGAAAGAACATTTTGGTTTGCAACCCTGTGGTGTAATGCCTGGCAAGCTGTTAAATAGATTTTTGTGGGAGGAGCCTCTGGAAGGATCTGAAAACAATTTTTGTGTCTTCACGTTTTCTATTCAAACCTTATATTTACAAAGATAGATAGCTACATCTATACATATACATAAAAGAAATAAAATAATAAAATAATGATAAATCAGTACTTCCCAAAGATAGCAATGCAGGTAAGATTTTAGAAGGTTTGGGTGTTGAGCAAAATTACCCCACAAGACTTGTCTCTAAAAATATTCTGACTCTGGAATGATTCCAAAAATACACGTAAAAAAAAATAAGGAAACAAGATTAAACTTGATGTGTGATTTTGAATCCAACCCTCAAAGGGTTAATGATTGACCATTGTTACACAATTTCGTTCTCAGCAAGTCCCACAATGTGTCTCAGTGGAATATTTCATTCACCCACTATCTGATGGTTGATTTAAGAATTCCTTAATTTTTTTAAAATATAAATAAATTTTTGATAATAGTGCCACTAATTAAACAACGAAAACAATAATAATAATACTAATAAAAGAAGATGATATAATGTATGTGGTATTTTTTTTAAATTGAATACAGTCTAAAATAAGGCTCTAATATAAATAATGTCTTTTGGTAGTTTTTTGCCACAATTCCGAAAATGTCAGGAAGCATTCCTAAATGTCACAAAATATTTGTGTTTACAAATAGTGAAAAAAAAAAGATATTCATAATCTTACACTTCTAGAGTAGCCATTCTTGAGAAGCATAATTCCATTTGTGCTCTGCGGTGATTTCGGAATTTCTTCAAACACAGAGTCATACGAAGGGCCTGAGGAGAAATGTAGACATTCTTAAGCTGTAAAACAGTACAATAATCACCTGATTTATGATCACTAATTTACAGCATTTGCCTTTAGCAAAAAAAGTTAAACTTCTTGTTTCCTGTCAGCATATCTGATGTAGTGTTTATGCATAAATTTACCGTGCTGATAGAAAAAAGAAGGAAATGAAATAAAAGTTAGACAACACTTCAGCCTAGTAGAAAGCAGAGGCCTTAAGTGGGAGCATAAATATATCAGCGTCTATAAGGGTTCTTGTCTTTAAACATGTAACGGTCACACTGGAACTCTCATTTTATGAATCCATATATTAAATTCTGTGAGAAAGTAACACTACACATGTGACATCCACTAACTTTTGGTTTCTTCCTGAAAGAAAGCTTCACC